TGTGGCATTAAATTATTTTAAATGTTGTTTACTACTCTGCTGTTTTGAAAAAAAAATCCAAAAACTTCAAGTTGTAGAATTTTTTTTCTCATTTTGTCAGGTGTTTTTTTTTTCTCACCTACTTTAAATTTATCTTTCATTGTTGGTAGACACAGTACGCCTTTTCAGTTCGTGTAATCCTCTTTATATGATAAACTTCCAAAAACGTCAAGTTGTAGAATTTTCTTTTTTCTCATTTTGTCTATTTCTGCTCTACTGACAGTGTTTAAATGACTATTGTAATCACATAAAACTAAAATTAAATTCATTATAACTTTAGTCCAAGTTTTCATTTTTTTTTCTCAATTTACCTTTTTTTAAAAAAGTAAACATAGTACAGTATGTATTTCTGCTCTGCTGACAGTGTTTGAATTAAATGACTATTGTAATCACTTAGTCAGGTGGTTGGTCAACAGATCAGGTCAAAACACTAAGCTACTGTTTGTTTGTTCACTGTTGTAAAAGTCCTGACATCAGCCAAAATTAAAAATACACTGACCAGTTCCTCTTTGATCTGAAGGACCTGCTGACGGTACTAAAACCGCCCATGTGCTGTGTAGTATCACTGATAAGAGTCCACTCCAACAGACTAAGAATAGATGGTCTAGTGTGAGAACGTCCCAGATGTTGACAGGGTCCTGGACTTGAACCAGTTCTGTCTCTTCTCTGTTTGAAACAAGCTGCAAAAGGTGTAACCCCAAAAAACCCGTGGTTCAATTTTTTTTTTTTTTTTTTTTTTTTTTTACAGACTGTTCTTGTGACTCTGTAATATTTACAACACCTCCAGGAAACTGCAACCTGATCTGCAGAGTTTGGTCAATGATTTTAACCTGCTATCAAATGTTGTTCTCCATGAGACCTGATACTTTATCATACACAGGGGATGTGTTTACTCATGGGCCGGTCAGATATTCAATAGACTGACAGACAGTTTTCAAGTAGTTAAACTGGACAGAATAAAATGGTAAAAACATGTATCGATGTCAGATAAATATAATCTTTCAGTAATATTATGAAAACATGTTTTTGCGACTGTTACATTGTGTACATTTTATACATGACACACTGTGGGTTCTTCAGTGTCATGGTACCACTGTGTACACTCCAGTTTCCGTTGGCAGACGTTGTTTCCACAGCAGAAGTCACCAAACCTGATCCCACTGTAGCTGTACTGCAGTAGTAGCAGCTCATCTTATATTTTTATTTACTCTGTATCGGGTTGACTGTGTGCAGTGAGGGGGGCGCGGGGGGGCTTCGAGTGAGTTGTGGGGGCTGGTTGTGGTAATAAAAGCTCCACATGCGTCCCAGTGGGAAGGTCAGTGCACGGCATCAGTCGTCCTCCGTGAGCCCGACGTCTGACAGCTCTGTGTAATTTATCTGTGTGCTCTCGTCCTTCCACTGCTGTCTTAAAGTGACACCATCCCAGTGGATCAGAGGCTGAGCCGCCTCCACACTCTAGTCCTGCCCCTGGCAGCACTTTTTAGGTGGATTACGGTAATGCACTCTGCAGTCAGTCTCCACGGTCTGGAGAGCGGCTTTTTGAGTCTGCCTCCGATGCTGTGGAAAAGGAGGTCTCACTGTGTGTGTGTGTATGTGTGTGTGTGTGTGTGAGGGGACGGTGCAACATCCTGGATTACCATTTGTCCTGGGGTACCAGGTCTTCCTAGCTGGAGGGGGTACTGATTGACCCTAGCCCTCGGCCTGAGCATGAATCATGGGCTGTTCTGGCAGCAGAGTGTGCTTGAGCGCTCCCTGCACTTCAGTGACGGTAACTGGCTTCTACACTCCGCTGTTCCGCAGTGAGTTATGGATGGGCTGGTGGAGAACAGTGGAACAGAGTGGACTGGGTCTTTCAGATGGGGTGTGGCCTTGGTTCAGTTGCCTGTGTTGTCCTACAGTACTTTATGGTTTTGATGTTATAGTGACATTGTGTTGCTTATGTGACTCAGCACAATAAGAGAAGGAGCGACCGTTCAGTGGCACTGCGGACGCTGTAGAGGGGGTCTGAGGGTCTGAGGTTCTGCTCCCAGGAGCCTGGTGGTGTGTTGTATGTCAACTTGTTAATCTCCATCCTCCGGTGTTTGCTGCTGTTTATTCTTTGTTGGTTCAGAGTATTTACTCAATATTCTACTGGGGAAACTGGAATCATGGGATTCTTATTTGTTCAGGGTGTTGCTCTAATTTCACATTCGTGTTCCTGCGGTAAATTTATCCTTAGATAAGAGTTCACTAACAAACTAAACAGATAAAGAATTTTGTATGTAAATGTCAGGAATATGAATTTTAAAGAGCTTGAGTGACTTGTCCATGTTGAGACACGTCAGTTCATCACATTCATCTGCAGGGAACCCTGTTCTCCTGCTGCCTGTTCAGCTGCCAAGATGTGTTTTAAGGTGGTCATTGATTTAATGATTATGTTTTAAACAATCCATCCACATCCCTCTACCTCCTACTCTCAAATGTGCATTTGAATACAATCTAATAAAACCTTTTTATTTTATTTTTTATTTAATTAGCATTAGATATTTGTCCACTGTGACTCAGACTAACAGAGGTTTTAGTGAATTGACTGAAGACACTGGACAAACAAGAAGACAAATTTCATCCATCCAGTTCTGTGTTTACTGTGTTCAGTAAAATAATGTGGTAACATTTTCTCCGACCTTCATGACGTTTGTGTTTTCACCACAGAGAGATGAATCCCGGCGGCAGTGCAGAGAGCTGTCTCAGGAACTTGTCAAACTGCAAGGAGACCTGGGTAAGTAAGGACACCAGGCTCTCTCACTCCTCACATGATGGTCCGTAGTAAACGAGAAATATCTTTCACACGGTTTTATTATTCTAATAAACATGGGAGTTGACAAATAGTCTCTAAACTCACCTGTCGCAGTAGCGTTAACGTCCTTTTTTTATAACTTCTTTAATAAGTAATGAGTAAGAAATAAGTTGTCATAAATAATTAAATTTGCTTCATGCAGTTATTTATTGTTATGTCAACAATCTCCAGACGAGAACAAATGATAAAATAATATTTACGTCTTTGGTCCAGGGTCAAAAAATCATGTCAACTGGTTAAGAACTGTTTGTGTTGAACTTGTTTGTGTGGTGACTGTTGATAACTGACTGTTGACATGCTGATCTGTTATAGTCCACACAGTGGCTTAGTGATTATTACTGCTGCCTTACCAGAGCCAGAGGAATATTGATCTGAACTAGTTGTAGTCGTCGACATCAGGTTAATGATTAATGATAATTAAACTTGTATTCACCACCGTTTGAATTCCTTTATTAAATATCAAGGCATCAGAAAGATGAGTTGTATTCAGGCGCGATGAAACGATAACAGATAAAATCAATTCATCATGACTGTTTACTCTACAGATCGTCTCTAGACTCGTGTTAGCTTTAACTTTCAGTCTCAATATTTGCTCTTCCGTCACTCAAACTAAGAATACATACAGTCGGTGTGTTTGTTCTTCTTAATCACTTTTGTGGAAGTCGTTACATTACATCCAGGAAGTAGCAGTCTGACCTCTGACCCCACACAGGCAGGCTTCTCTCTGTGTGTTAATTTGGTCAGGTCTTAAACCCCAGTGCAGACACGGGAGCCATGACCGGGGTTGGACCTGTGAGGCCCAGGTGTTTCTGAACATCGACTTCAAACTTGTGGTGCTGTGACCTGGGTTGGACCTGTGAGGCCCAGGTGTTTTTGAACATCGTCTTCAAACTTGTGGTGCTGTGACCCTCGCCCCCCCCCCCATCAGCCTCAGGACTTGACTTGACACATGACTGCTCTTAGTAGATGAACTCTCCTGCAGCACGTACGTCGACTTAAACACTCTCTTTCACCTCAGGGACTGAGGCGGTGACGTCGAAGATAACACCAGTAAAAACGTCTGTTGGTTCCAGAGGCTAAAAATGTTCAGATGTTCATATTTCACCGTTCAATCATCAGCACAGTCGAAGCTTTGTTCATAATGTAATCTGTGATTCATTAACCTCCAGAATCTGAAGTTACATTTTAACAGAGGAACCTGCCTAGATTATTATGTAGATTATCATTAGTCAGATTATTGTTATTCAGACGTAAACACTTTTCTGCTGTGAGGGTGGATTTGCACAGAAAGCCCACATGACCAGGTGTGTGTTTCACATGGTTGTGGAATGTTGAGCTGCAGATGCCAGTGTGTGATGTATGGATCAGTGGTAACGTTCCTTCTGTTCTGGCTCCTGTTCCTGCTGCTGCTGCTTTTACATTCCTGAGGCGATGAAGCTAAACACTGCCACAGGAAAAACACTGCTTTTATACAGTATATTCACATGCTAACGCTAACGTTTCATTAGAATGCTCTAGAACCACAGCTTTTTGGACCATGTTCATCAGGATGGTGTTAATAATGGGTCATGTGACCTGAACCACCACAGTGTCTGAGAGACATGTGACATCACCACTACTATGTACGATTACTACCATCACTACTGGTGCTACAACTACTACTACCACTGCAGAATAATGATATATATGAAATATATATGAAATAAAAACTGATGCCAAAGAACTCTAAAGTTCAGAGAATGACTGATGTGATGATGGTGCAACAGGGAAACACCATCTGTTGGACCTCATTTTTATCCTCCTAGTCTACCCACACACACACACACACACAATCCATTCAAGGTCGACCTACTGTAGCTGTGTCCTACTTCTCTCTGACCGTTCGTCCTTTTGTTCTTTTTTTTTGTTTTTTTTTACATAATTTAAATTCTACTCGGCCGTCTCCTGTAGGATAACGACACCATCTTCCTCTTCCTGTTTCCAGTTTGCTCCATCAATTCGTCAGAGCGTCTGGAGAAGGAGAAGGAGGAGCTGCGTGCTACTCTGGAGGATGCTCTGCTCAAACTGCAGGAGCAGCATCAGAACGATGTGTCTGAGCTGGAGCAGAGGCTGCAGGCCTTCTACCAGGCTCACTGTGACAAGGTCCACCTCACCTATCAGGAGGAGGCCGACAGGTGCAAGTCATTCATGCAGCAGCAGGTGAGTCGCAGAGCGACGGTGGCAACGGCAAGAGGAAACTCAGCTCCATCCAAGATTAAAAAAGAGTCAAATTTCTACAGTTTTTTTTTTTTTACTTTACAGTTTTTTTTTGTGGGCAGTTTTTTCCCCTGTTTTCTGCTTCAGTCGATTGACTTTTCAGTGAAATATAAATGTATTTTTTTGTTGTTGTTCTTTTTAAAGGTGGGAGAGCTGAAGTCCAGTCATGAAGCTGCGAAACTGGAGCTCCAGAGCAAACATGTAGAAGAGCTGCAGTCTGTCAAACAGCAGTATGAAACCTCACTGGAAGGTGAGGAGATAATACTTCAAAGCTACTTTTATGTCCAAATTGTATTGTATATACAGTATGTATTTACAAGCTGAGAGAATCTCTGAACTAACTGCACCAAACACTGTATCAACCAGAACACCGGAAAGTTCTCCAGCAGGAGCTGGAGTCTCTGAAGGACACAGAAACCTCACTGATGGTGAGAACATTTTCACCTTCCCTCCAGTCACAGACAAAACAAAAGAACGCTCCATTCATTGTCTCTGTCACTCTGCTGTGTCATGTGACGTCACAGGAACAGATCCAGGAGCTGACGGCCCAGAACGGTTCCCTCACGGAGAAGCTAAGAGCAGAGGAGAACAGGAGGAAAAAACTTGCTGAAAGTTGTCAGGTACTTTCACCAGGGTTCTGATGTCAGCAGAGTCCCACTCAAAAAAAGACGACTGTCACCCGCATGACCCCCCATCCTTATTTTTGTTATCCCTCTGAGCTCATGTCAGATTCAAATTCCTGCGGTGTTTTCAGAGTTACAAACCTCTGACCTTTAAAAACAAACATGTCTTTTCTTTCTGTCTAACTCGGTGTCATCCTCACCGGTCCCTGCAGAAGGACACTCACACCCTCTACCTGGAGCAGGAGCTGGAGAGTCTCAAGGTGGTGCTGGATATCAAAAACAAACAGCTCCACCAGCAGGAGAAGAAGCTGATGGAGGTGGACAAACTGGTGAGAGCCGGATTCAAAATGAACACACACGAACAGGAACACACACACATACATACATTTATATTTGTCTTGTCTGTTTGTTCTTTTTCTACCAGATGGAAAAAAGTGTGAAGTTGGATGAGAACCTGACGAAGGTCCAACAGGAAAACGAGGACCTGAAGGCTCGGATGGAAAGACACGCTGCCTTGTCAAGGTGAGAAACTGAGCTCAAAAAAAAAACAAAAATCTAGTTCTGTTTAGTTTAAAATTTAGTTTAAATTCTGCTTCAGTTTTCCTCCAGTCTTAGACTACATAATCTACTTCATCTAAATATTCAGATCCAGGGGTCTTTACATAGAACCATGTTCATTAACACAGACCCAGTCTGTTGACCTTTGACCCCCAGCTCTTCTCTAACCTGCTGTTGTTGCTGCACCACAGACAGTTGTCCACGGAGCAGGCTGTGCTGCAGGAGACCCTGCAGAAGGAGTCAAAGGTCAACAAGCGTTTGTCCATGGAGAACGAGGAGCTGCTCTGGAAGCTTCACAACGGAGACCTGGGTAGTCCCCGCAAAGTGTCGCCCACCTCCACCACCCCCACCCACTCCTTCAGCCTCCAGTCACCCCGTAGCACCCCCCTGATCTCCAACCCACCCCTCTCCCCCAGATAACAATGGGCCCTGCTTCCAGGAAGCAGAGCCAAACGTCGAGTTATTCCGCCGTGAAGGCGGAGCCGTGTTTGTTTACTGTCGTCTTAGCAACGCAGCAGCTGGACCTCGGCTCTGTCGGGATCGGAGGAACTCTTCATTTCTTCAATGACACGAGAAAGTTAAAAAAAATAAATACTTTTTTTTTTTAATGCACAAATGCACTTAAAGCGAGGCCACCGCGTTGTTTGCCTTTTTACATCTGCACCTGTTGAATATGGGAAAGTTAAACTCAGGACTTTGACACGGCGTCACCATATATTTGTTTTTTGGCGAAGGCTTCTCTTTCCCGCCTGTTGATGTATTACACGTGCACAGGTGCATGCAGATGTGACGTATCTACCTGCGCTGAGTCAGACCTGCAGAATTCAGTCTGTCTCCTGAATTCAGGGTCATAGAAAAAAAAAAAATCTGAAGTCTGAATCCAGATCAGCTTTGCTGGATAAAGACCGCGTTCCACCTCAGGGTGGAGTTTGGTTTAAATATGTGAGGAATTGCTTGCTTGTGTGGGATTCCTGCACCATTTCCACTGCTAACTGATGTCCTGTCACTAACGCCTCGCTGCTCGTCGTCACATGCACCAGCGCTGCCCACAGTGTTTCCGGGGTGTGTCCAGTTTGAAGGTTTACATATTTTCACTACTGAGGATTTCTCTGAACCAACGGCTTGAATAGAATCTTTGTTGGGTTTGTTTGTTTGACTGCTTTCTTGAGGGACCAATCCCACAATCGGTGTGCATGTGTTTAGGTCATTAGGTGAGCCCTCCCCAGACCTGAGCCCCCCCCCGACCCCCTCCTCTGTTTCAGCTTTAACCTCGGAGTCTCAGCAGAGAGTGGATCAGATGGAGCCCTGCTTTTTACATGTTGAATACACTGTATCTTTAAAACGTCCTGAGTGCAGAAATGGTACCGTCTCTCCTGGACCCTGTTTGAAATATGCAATTAATAAAGTCTTGTATTAAACTTTAGACTAATTTAGTTTTTTCCTGAAACAGAAAAACGTTGGTCATGTGTGCTCTCAGCACTAGAGACTGGAGAAAAGTTTGAACCAAAATCACTCCAACATTTTTCACCATTGGACCGAAATAAGTTCTGGACCGACAACACATTCCACATGTGGAACACATTATGATGCAGCACAACCGGATTCTCACTGCGTCTGTAACTGTTTCACTTCACTCTCAACATGAACTCTTTCTGTCAAACAAATACCAAAACTTTATTATCACCACGTCCAATCAAATTTCCATCGGTCTGTTACAGTTGTGTCTGGAGAATATAAAAACATTTTCGACGGACCGCTGGGACAGAATGACGTGAACTACTGAACACTGATGGACACTAAAGTCTCTCCGTGCTGGTTTTTGGCTTTACAGATGTAATTCCCAAAGTCGATGGTCTCCATGTCCTCTATCGTCAGGACGCTCTGAGAGAGCCGCGTGGTGTGACCTATCCCTCTGGTGACCAGGCGCCACGAAGACAGGATGTCAACTGGACGACGGTCCTAGGAAGAACACAAAAAACAGGCAAATTATTATTGTCGTTAAAATTCAGGATTGACCAATGGAGAGCTGAAAAGAAGTTAAGTTCTAATGATGAGTCAGCAGAGGGCACCAAAGCTGAAAAAAAAATTCCATCTATCCATCCATTGTACACCACTTATTCCTTTGCAGGAATAAGTCTCTCTCTTTCTGTCTCTCACTCTCTCTATCATTCGTACCTGACCAGGATAAGACCAGGTGAAGCCCACATCCACCTCTGGTTCTCCCAGCACGGTGCAGCTGATGTTCATGGTGTCTCCTCCACTAACAGTCTCTGGGGAGGAATGAAGGCTGACGAAGGGCGGACCGCTGGGAACTGTCAGTAACAGAAAGGCCTCTGATATTTCCCGTTTACAGCAGAGTCATGAACAGGTGCTGCGTGTGTTCGGAGCTCATACCCTCCACGTAGAGCAGCTGGTACTTTGTGGAGACCTGAGGCGTCCTCTTGGCCACAGCCTTACAGTAAAACACTCCCTGGAGCTCTGGACCAGGGTTCTGGAGGACAAAGCCCTTGGTGGGGTCATAGGTCATCTGGGTTGAATTGGCCTGGATCTCCTCTGGTGGGACCTCTCTGTGCAGGCTGACCATGGCCTCAGGGTCAGTCACACGACAGGGCACCACCGCTTGCCTGTCGGGGCGCAGGTAGACGATCTCAAAGTGGATGGCAGAAGGAACAAAGAGGTTCTCCTTGTCTGGTAGGAAAAAAATACAGACCATAATATTCAAAGATGCGAATGTTTCAGATTCAAAAATGTTAGTCATGATGTTATTTAGTCACCTGTGAAGTAGATGTACGAGGCGTAGGAGCGTTCGTGGTCCTTCTCACAGTCCCTCCCGTCACACAATATCACCCAGCAGCCGTAGGAGCCAGTGTCAGCAGCAGAGGGCGACGTCAGGATCAACTGGCTGTACTTGTCACTCTGCTTGATGCTGGAGTTTGGAGAACCAACCACACAGTAAGACACTCATGTTCCTATCATATGATGTCCTGGTGACACGGTGCAGGAGTGTGTGTGGCGTGCGCTGCACCTGAGGCGCGAGTCGTTGAAGGTGTCCAGGTATTTTGGGTACGACCATCCGATGTTGGTGCCTTTGCAGCGCAGCTCAATGCTCTCACTGGGAGTCAGAGTTGTGCTGTGACCCAGGCGAAGGAAGCGCCCCTTATCTAGAACCTGAGTCAGCAGGGACTGACCTTTACCCCCTGCGTCCTTGGCTTTGGGCGGTCTCACCTTCACCCGTTTCCCCCCCGGTCTGATGCGGTTCTCCCCTGGATCTTTCTTTCGTTTCACTTGTTGGCAGTCGCCTGAATTGACGGAAAATACAGAAAGAAAAAGCAACAACAAAAACACAAAAAACCAAATTTCCCTTCTCTCATAATAAAAAAAAGTTTAGAAATTCAACAGATTTATTCTATATTTTCTTTTTTTTTCATTAACCATGTCATATTTACTTGTTATTTTAAAGAGAGTAATGGCTACGTAGGTGGAAGCCTAAAGCAAGGAATTTAAGTTTTACAGCATCCTTAGAGAGTGTACCACTTAAGGGGACTTGCCCCCTACTTTGGGAACCACTGGACTAATGGTGCTTAGTGTGTCTGTTCCTCTGCCTGTTTGTTTGCCCCAGTTGTAGTTCCAGTTGTGTAGAAATGAAAAACTCTGAACATTGGTCAGATGTGTAGAAGTTCTATTTCACAAAAAACAGAAAGATGAATCTGGAAGATTTATTTAATTTCACGTTTCACAGCAGAAACAATAATAATAATAAAAAGAGGAGAAGAACCACTTAATCAGAAACATCTGTCTGCTGCAGGTCTTGAGTCTAGCGTCAGTTTTGGTTTGTTTTTCTCCAGAAGTTTCTCTTATACAGATATCAGGCAAACATTTCTACTTCACACAGTCTAATTATTTTAAACCAACAACCATCGTTGACGTATAGTCAAACAAAAATGGATGACAGCGTTTTTTCTGTCATTTAGGGCAGAGATAAAACTCTTAAATTCTCCTGGACTCACCACTCTCTTTTCTCCGCCCCAAATATTTTTATAAAACCTCTGGTGATTTAATCCTCCGTTGTCCAGGTTATCGTCTTTGTTATGACGCCATCAACATCAGGTTTTACAGCTCTCACAACTCCAAAAGACAGATGTGGAAATCTACTCACCACAGTGGAGCTCCAACCAAAGCAAGGTCAGGCAGAGTAGAACCCAGAGCTTCATGGTTTGGGTTCAGGAAGGTCAGAGAGATGAAGGTTTAGGAAAGGTTAGAGTCAGAGTTCCGCTGGACATCTGCAGGTTTCGGCTGCTCTGCTCAGATTCCCAGCTCCATCCTTCTCACAGACTGAAGGGAAAATACTTTTTTAAAAAGTACTTCTCTTTACTCTTGTCTACATTGCATGACTGGAAATTTGAAATCTAGAGCCCTCTGGTGGAATAAATGTGATTAACAACTCAGTAAAAGCGCGATCTTATTGACTCAAAGTTAAAGGAACGACAACAGATTTGTTTTCGTTCCTTTAACTTTAAAACTGCCTTTAAAAAAACATTGTAATCACCGCTTTTCGGTTTTTTCGTCTTGCTTCAAGATTAAACTCGCCAAATTTCCGCTTTTCGGTTTTTTCGTCTTGCTTCTCGCCAAATTCAGTGTGTGTCTACATCTTACCAAACGTGTAGATTAGCTACACGTTAGCTTTATCTATATAAATACAGCATAAAATAACAAATAGAAATAACGTATATGTGAAAAGTTAAGAAGGCGGACTTACCATTTTTAACTCAGGCAGTTGGCCAGGCCTTGGGATTTCTAACCGTCCAGAAACACCAAAGACAAATTATTTATATATATATATATTATTTGTATTCGTGCAAATGTTTTTTCACTGAATTAATGGTCTTAAAAGACACTGAAATTTTTTCTTTTTTAATAACTTTTCTGGTTGTCCCTCCCTCCCCTGTCGGAATGGACTATTCCGTCCTACTGCGCCTGTGCGAAGATTCGGGAAGACAGTAGGAAAACAAATCTGTTGGCGCGGCGTGGAACAAAATGAAAAAAATAAATATATCCAAATGGAACTGAGTAGCGGTGAACACATTGAGAAAAAGAGTCAAATCTACAAACTGTGATGCTTATATTTTTCCACGGTGACACTAAACTGGAGGAATTTAACGACAACGGAGCTCTTTAGCCTTGACTGCTGTTAGCATCAGTGGTGGACCGACCGGTGAAGGAGAGAGAGAGTTTAGGACCACTGTCATCACGGAGATGTGAGTATTAAAACGTATTAAAAAGACATAACTGTAAATTGTTTGTTACCGAAAAGTATTTAAAACACATTGTTAGGCGTTATGGAGGGATGTACGTGAACTTTAAATTGTTCATTTTAGTTTAAATATGTTTTAAGTCGATTGTTTACGACTTATCCGTGAGTTGTGCAAATTCCTACCTTTTCCGCTGACCTTAAAGACCACTTAACGGCTAACGTTTATATTAGATTCCGTGTCGTGTTACTAAACCGTTAAAAAACCGGAACCTTAATTGTTGTGGATGTTTTGTCTTATCGGTTTTTATATAAATGATACGATATCATTACATTATCACAGTTGTGTATGTAGTCCTACAACTTTATTAGAACAACAATGTTTACATAGAAGCATTACCTCCCTCCCGCCTCAACCCTCCACGCCCCCCGTACTACACACAAACAATGTGAGGATTTCACGTTGCAGCCTCTAAACCTGTACCTTAACTTTAACTACCACAAATGTATTCCTAATCTTAATCCTTACTCTAACCATAACCCAGTCCTCATCCAAATCCTAACTAACAAACTAGGTTTCATACCTTAAAAATATCTTCTTTCCTGGTGGGGACAAAAATGTCCTCACAAGGATAGCCCATACACACACACAGAGGTAACAGTCAGCAATCAACCACTAGGTGGTACAAATACTGTCAGTAAATTTCTTTCCCATCAGTCAGACGTATCTAACGACACAGTAAAGACAAAAACAGAAGATGAAAAGACCTGTAAACAAACTGAACTTATAAGTAAATGCATAGAAATTTGGAGAGAAACAGTTTAAATTGATGGAAGGACATGTTCCACCTCGACTCATTGACCTGTTTTCCAAGTACAGTATGCAAAAAAAGAAAAGAAAAGTCTCACACTGTCACGTGTTAAATTTCTATATCGTATAATAAAACTAAACTAACGATAAAAGTCTGACATTATAAAAACTTTTTTAACTGTGTTATTATTAGTAACAATATTATTTCGGACACATTTTAAATCCACACAGTCACTGCAGTCATGTTTTTGATTGTGTGAGAAGGAATCAAACCTCACTCTGAAGTGCAACCGCGCTGTTGGATCTCCATGCTGTCCGTGAAGTAAAGTAAAGTAAAGCAAAGTATCGTGACGTGACGTGACGGGGTGTCATGACATCATCACAGTGACAGTTGTAGTGTGCTTCAGGTCAGAGCAGAGAATGTTGTGTGTTGTGTTTCCACGGAGAGTCTGTAGGAGGCGCTCGGCCTAGAACTGACTCGTCTTCTCTGATGGGATTAAGTGACCCTGCTCTTTACCTTCTGCGTTCACACTGACATCAGTCACTTTGACGCTTTTGCTCTGTTTCTGAGTTCTGTTGGTGCTGTTCAAAGGACTCTGGAGGTGGCGCTGTCGCTCCGCACTGTGCCACATTCCATAGCCAAAATAAATCAGGAATCCTGAAATAAAAGAAAAGTAGAAATGATAGTGTTTAAAATTAATTTCGGAGCAAGAGCTTGGATTTTTTTTTCACATGGGAAAAAAGTTGTACTTTTTAAATCTATCTCTAATTATTGTCAAGATATTAAAAAACGATATATTTCCTGCGTACCACTAGAGGGAGCCAAAGCACCATGCTTTATATTATACTCTAGATTTGACCCAGTATTTTTGGCTCCAGTTTCTTTATTCCAGTGTTTTTAATAGAGCATTACTTTTAAAGTTTAAGATTTTACTGGTTTTTAGTCTGACAACGACTCACCCACTGCCATCCACACTGAGAAACGGATCCAGGTGTCTCCACTCAGCTGAACCATGAGGTATATATTGACAAATATACTCAGGATAGGCAGGAATGGCAGGAGAGGAACCTGGAACAACAACAAAAGAAACAGTTCTGGATCAACCTCCGTCTGTGATGGAGATCCACATCAGGGTGAAAAGCCGATTTGTTCAGTGTCCACGCACCATGAAGGAGACCTTCTTGCTGGTCTGAGGCTGCCTGCAAACCATCAGGACGCAGGCGCTGAAGATGAGGAGACACACGGACAGCAGCACCAGGATCCACACCTCCATAGCCAGGATGGAGCTGATGTAGTAGGTGGTGAGGTAGCTGACCACACACACCACCAGCACTGGGACATGCAATCACACAACAAACAGTCGACTCACACGTCAAATCATAGAAGGGAAACAAATAAAGACCTCCAAAGTTGTTTGTCTACCTAAGACGCCGATGAAACAGTTGACGACACTGGAGGAGTGCTCCGAGGGAGAGGCAGGAGGGTGGAGGACGGTCTGCATGGTGGAGCTGCCGCTATTCAGCATGTGGAGGTGAGACTCGGACTCCGTCAGCTCCGACTCCTCGGAGGCCAGGAGATCCCTCTCTCTCGAACCTGGACACCACTCCAGAGCTGCGTCCGGCTGGTACCTAGACCGAAGAAGAGACAACATTCAGCTAAAAACACTTTATTTAAAAAAAAAACAACTCACCAACAGTGTTTGGACAACACGTCAACATACTTCCTCAACCACAAGATGCCCGTGCCCTCTCTGGATTTACCCCAGCTGTGAAACCACCTCGTCCATTATATGCCTGCCATGACTTCCATGTATTAATTTTATTTACTTTTATATTACCAAGAAGACACATACTGCTTGAAAATTGTGAAAAAAAATTCACTCAATTTACTAACTTTTTCCATTCTTAGTAAAACCTCCTTTTTCAGCCAGGTCTTCAAATGTTGAATTTTTTTTTTTTTTTTTAAAGCGCCTCAAGCCTATAGATCTGGTTAAACCAGAAAATGAAGATGTCTGCAGCATCTGCTGTGACATCATGCCAAGACATGCGCCGTATATACGGTACTAGGATTAGTACTAGGTATGGAACTGAGAAATGTTCTTATTCAATGCAGTAGGAATGCACCGTGTCTCCATCTGTTTCAAACCCACCTGAGAATCAGAACACAGGCAGCCACCAGAGAGTAGGCCAGAAGGGTTCCGATGGACATCATGTCCACCAGGGCTTTCAGATCAAAGAGGAAAGCCATGATCGCTACGGAGAAGAAACGCAAACAAAACATGTTTTAAAACACCAAACGCTAACAGTAATGTACCGTAAACATTATCCACCACTGTGCACGACAACATCATTGGAGGTAAATTAAACTGGCATGCATTTTTTTTTTTCATGTCTGTGGCACGTGTTGTTTGATGTGCGAAACGCCGTGGTGCTGCAGTACGGGGCTGAAGACGACACAGAGTTAAAGCTCTGTTCAAACAATAATAACCGGAGGGTTCTCTGCACGGTGCTGCCAGGTGTTCAGAACATCTGGCCTTCCTCAGGTCCTAACCCTGGTTCATCAGTCATTATTTTATAGGTTCGATGCGTTGAAGGTTAATGTGGCCAACGAATTACGGAATTAAAAAAATAAAGAATTTTATATTAAGGCATAAAATTCTTCTGTAAAGGATGGCTGCCCTGTGTTTGTATTTTCTTGTTTTTTCCTTCTTCTGTGGATAGTACTAATGAGTTGAACGTTTATCTCGAAAGATAGGACTAGACAAAACGTTTTTAGACAGATGTTGTCATTTTAGAAGGGTATGAATTTTTTTTTAACATTTTTACATATTAACCAAATTAGACAGATGTTGTCATTTTAGAAGGGTGTGAATTTTTTTTTTACATTTTAACCAAATTGAATGGTTAAATGATTTAAATGAAACCGTCAAAAAAACCCCAATATTATCAAAATACAGAGAAAAAAAACCCATGTGGGAGGACGTTGAAGTATAACGTTGACATTAGCAGGTCTGTGTTGTGTGTATGATGTCATTGTATTTAGGATAATGGTGTGTTATAACAGGAGGGATTTCATTTTTCGTCTCGTCCAATAGGAAAGCTTCATTGTGTGATTCAATAATAGTAAGTGTGAGGATTTTGGGGGCATGCTTCTCAGAAACACCAACAGTGACATCACATGCAGCCATCACCATCTTACAATTTGTGCGATTATACAAATTGTAACACCGAAGCAAGGCCACGCACCACAACCACAGGGAGAGACGAGGCCTTGTCACATGAGCTTACCCGCAGTGGTGCCCGCTACCATGGTGGCAGCCACCGGCGACTGCCGCTTACTCACTTTGGACATAAATTTGAACAGAATACCGTCTCGTGCCATGGCAAACAGAATGCGGGGCAGAGGGAACATGCAGCCCAAAAGGCTAGGGAGAAGAGGGTTCATGGTTAAGTTTGTGGGTAATAAAACATGAGGACATCTGCAGGACTGAGAAAGAATAACACGCCAATCGCTGATATCCTGGATGACAATTATAAGGGAAACCTGCATGGAAAAAAAAACAAACACAGAACAATTTGATCTGCAAAGCTGGGCTGTGTTCACACTTGTAGTTTTCTGAAGTTCTGGACAGACCTGTGGCTCTCAGCCTTCAGGAATGTTGTCAATAATGTTGGCTCCTGGGCCACACGGTTAAAGCTGTGGTTGGTGCTCGCCTTACAGCAAGAAGGTCACAGGTTTGATGGTTCAGTTTTTGGTTTTACTGTATGGAGTTTCTACGATCTGTGTGTATCAGATATTACACAATTATGCTAATATCGAGCCGATAATGTCGGTCGACCGATAATATCGGACATCCTTATTTTAAACTTTTCATTTAATTTCTCATTGTTTTGTTTTTGTTCTAGTTTCTTAAGATTTACTTTTATATATTTGCGATACATTTTGACATAGTTTAAGGTTCTTGGATCACATCCTATCAAATTTAAGTACGTAGCCTCCACACACACACGTTTATGTGAACAATTACAATGAAGCTAACATGACAAGCGTGAACACACCCTTAAAGGCTCCCTGGCTCTCACCTGCGACTACACCGGAGACCATAGTGGCAATAAGTGGGGTCTTCGTCTTAGGATTGATTCGGGCTAAGACTTTGAAAAGCACGCCATCATCAGCCATAGCATAGATTACACGAGGCATAGGGAACATGGAGCCCAGCAGGCTGCGTCAAACAGCAGAGACATGCAAGCAGACAAATTAGTCCACGGACACAAACACAGCAAAGGTCACATGTTCGAGGCTTCATTAAATCCTAAAGTGTCTTTCTTTCCTGTCGGCAACGTCCTACAGTATCATTTTAATTGAATTCACTAGAGCTGTCAGTGAATAAAATATAAAAATAAAAATCTCCAACAGTCAGAGTGAAAATGTCTCTTCATAGAGTTGGAGTATTTCTGTCATGACTGTTCACCTGGACGGGGACTGGTAGAATGTGTGGAACGTAGTTGTTCTTCAGTCTAGTCGTTGTTCTCAACAATATGATTTAGTCTAAGATTCTCAGTAAGTTTTTTCCTGCAGGGTGTGTAAATAACCATTAACACGAACTGAAGACACAGTAGGCTAACTGTGTGTTACAGTGTGTGATGTTTTGCAGCTCAACAGTCAGTCTGACTGACAAAAAGACGGACGACAGGAAAGAAAGGCACAGATACAGCAGATAGGTGTTATTCATGATAAACATATAATGCATTACAAGGTTATGCAGGGTCACCCCAACAGAGACAGAATCAAGCCTTAACACCAGGGATGTCCGATATCAACCCGATATCGAGATATTCAGCCGTTTTCCCTCAAATCTGCGGTAAACATCTCATGATCCCAAAAGCGATTCCAGTATATTTGGCGAAACCCAGGCATCGCATCGTAGTTTCATTATCGGCGGAGAAACCGATAACGATTCTCACAGTTGTGACATAATTATGCTAATACCTGGTGGATAATATCGGTCGGCCGATTTTATCTGACATCCCTACTTAGCACCAAATAAGTCAATCCTGTAACAAGACAATTTTTTGACTTGGTCTCTTTGCTACCCCCCTCCCCCCATCATCCCCCAAAAGGTGAATAAATTACAGAACTCCTCTGGTATAAAAAAACAGAAAGACTGACATTTAACTTTGTTTGTGTATAACACACATCTCTCTCTCTCTCAGACAGTTGTTACCTGGTGGACAGGGCACACAGAGAACCTACAGCCACCACATATTTGGCCGGGTCCCATCCCACGTACTCAAAGGCCATGGGGAGGGGGCTCTTCTCATCCAACACATAGTAGGGCATCATGAGGGTGAGTGCGGCAGACACACCAAAGTACGCCAGGAAGCACACGGTCAGTGACACCACGATGCCCATGGGTATTGCCCTCTGGGGGTTTTTCACCTCCTCACCTGTCACAGAAAAAACACGTTAGCGTTAGCATCGGGCTGATGATGATGATAATCAGACGTAATGACCCCTCGTTAATGGCCCACCTGTTGTGGCGATGCAGTCAAATCCAACAAAAGCGTAAAAGCAGGTGGCGGCTCCAGCCAAAGTGCCGCTGAAGCCGTAGGGCATGAATCCGCCTACTCCGTAATCGCTGCTCACGTTAGCTGTGACCGACAGGTTCCTGGAGCGCACAGAGAGCTGTTTTATTATAACGTGAGAAATGTGGGCAGCTGTCTTACTGACTTCACATCTGAATGTGTTAAGTGATTCATATTTCAAAGACAATGTAAAACATGTCAAAATATAGTACCTGCCTAGCAGGTTTATTATAATGTCGTTTCAATTTAATGCTAAATTTGACTTCTACTGTTTATTTTGTGTCTTGTGTTTGTAGAGCACTTTCGTCCTTGTTTTTTTTTTTTTGTCTTTTTTATTCACCTCTTTATTATGGTGACATTTATCAGAGATTCTTCGGTGATTTTCCAGTTGTCTGTGTCTCCTTTGACAAAACCGGAGATGATGACGAACAACAGAACCAGCACGTTGATTGAAGTGAAGACTTTGTTCACCCAGGCGGATTCCTTCACACCAAAGGAAAGGAGCCCTGGAGGAAAGAAAAGCAGGTGAAACCACCGTCATCTTGTAAAAATCCAACCTGACTGTGACGATTAGAGAAAATCTTTTCTTCCAGGGAACTGATTCAACTTTGACGTTGAGGTTTGATGGTCTGCTTATTTAATTTTTTTTCTTAGATATAGATAAGGCCTGACTTTTCAGGTTGTTTTTGGTTGGTTGTTGCTCACCAGAGAGCAGCAGTATCAGGCAGACGGCAAAGAAGTCGGGGTACTGGGCCAGACCAGGGGAGTTCATGCTGAAATAGGTTTTACAGAAGACCTCGATGTGTCCTCCGATCATTTCATCAAACGTGCCACTCCAAGCTTTGGCAACTGAGGAGGTTCCTGTGAAGATAATAACACAAAAAAACCCAAAGAAAAACTCTGTCCGTTCACAGAAATAACTTTACTGGAGCTGCACTTTACAGGAACTTACCGATCACATAGGACAGGATGAGGTTCCAGCCCGTGATGAAGGCCCAGATCTCTCCCACGGTCACGTAGCTGTACAGGTAGGCAGAGCCCGTTTTGGGGACTCGAGCACCAAACTCTGCATAACACAGACCTGCCATGACGGAGGCCAGGGCAGCGATAAGGAAGGAGATGACAATGCTCGGACCAGAATCCCCCTTGGCCACCTCCCCAGCCAGCACATAGACTCCGGCACCAAGAGTGCTGCCCACCCCCAGGGCTATGAGGTCGGCGGTTCCGAGGCAGCGGCAGAGCTTAGAGTCTTCCAGGCTGCTCAGGTCGACCACTTTTCTCCGCACCAGAGAGCGTCCAAAGGACAGAACCTGCGTCAACATTTTGGCACCTTCTAGAAGGAGAGAGACGAATGGTAAATATCCCTGTCTAAACATCTCATGTTTGATTTCTGCTTACGGACGTGCAGATGGTTGGACGAGTGTGAATGTGGTGCTTGTTTGTTCAGCCTCACTCTGTGTTTTTTTTTTTTTTGCATCATGTCCAGAACAGTTGTATAATGAAGTTTCACAACACAGCAGAGGTGCATTAGGGTGGGGTCACAGATGTATAAAAGCTCAGAAGTATGGCACAGACGTAAATAATTTCTGTTGAGACCTGCAGCCTGGCGCATCAAATAAATGAACTGAACTCAGATCAGTAATCAAAGAGCTGCTACCAAATAAACAGTACCACGGGACGGAACATTACACCGGTCACTAATTACACATTTGTTAATTAAAATCAAGCCACAACATTTTCCTACAAATTCACATTAGGATTTTGATTTATTGAACTATTGAACATCTAAATTCTTTTTTTCAAATTATTTTTTTTCCAGAGAAGTGACAGCTCGTTACAGGACCATTGGGGTTAAATCACAGTTCGAAAGTGACGTTCAAACAGACACACAATATCCAACTATAGCACCAAAATATATATATATATATTTTTAAAAGCCACTGCAAACACTAAACATTTTCTAAATATTTGCACTCACCTGTGAGGATATCTCTGTGTGAGTGTGACACCAAAGCCCAGCTTGTCTTTCCCAGGTTTTTTTTTTCTTCAGCAGCTCACCTGCACATGCAGCACAGGTACAGGGCAGATGACACGGAACGGTCCCATGAACTGTGCCACTGAATGTCTGCTCAAACTCATTCACTCTGCTGGCATTCACAGGCACAGTGTGCAGAACAGCATTTCTGCTCCTCCCCTCTGTGTCCACAGTGTTCCTTCATAGGAGCTCCAGGCACGCCCCGGCCAGGGGAGAAATGTTTCCTTAAGGAGGGGAAGCAAGGGGGGCGGGGGGCAAGAAAGGGGCTTATGGTATATAAGGGAGAGTGTGGTGGTGGTGGTGGTGGTGGGTAGTGAGTTCACAGTTCACCCTGTGGAGCTCCAGCAGTCAGATGACGAAGTAGTGTAAAACCAGAGTTCTAACGCCCGTTCCCGTCACATCGATCCCAGCTGCCTGTGTGCTCACTGCCCGCTGATAAATGGTTGGGCAACTGAGACTGACAAACATTGAGGCAGAACACTGTTTGCCCAGTGTGGTGGACAGGAGTGCTGCTGAAACATGACTGCTGATTGGTCAGTGAAGGCAGAGTGTCCCAAAGGAGAGACGGGGTCTTGCTCAATGTCACCTGAGCCGCTCGGGTCCGTGGACGTTATAGAACCAATGCCACGTCTGAAACTAAAAGTCTTCACTCTCTCTCTCTCTCTCCGTGGCGGCCGTGGTTGCGGGTTCGATTTTTTATTTTTATTTTTTTTGCGTATTACATCTGAGTTTGAGTTTTACAGCAGACAGCCTCGCTGCCAAGACCAGCTCAAACCAGCTGAAAATAAGTCGTCAGTGGGAAGGTGGCAGCTGGAGCAGAGACACACACTGTGCAGCCCAGTGGGACCACAGATGAAACAGCCTGACAACAGGCAGTTCTCTCTGTTTGTCCATCCAGCCGGCCAGCCAAATATCATGGCTGATCGCCCACCAAACCCTGGCTGCAGAGGCTGATTCTCTGACCTGCATGTTGATGGGAAAGCAAATGCTTCACTTGATGTTGGGCAGACTGGAGACACTCACACTTTCACTAAGAAAATGTTTGTTTAAAACCCAACGAAAAAAACCCCTGGGTTCTGAGGTTTGGAGAAATAACTCCAAATAAACATTTTAACACCGGTTTCTGTTCCTGTTCTGACGAGCAACAACTTTTTTTTTCTGCATCTTTCAGTGAACTTTTGCTGTTTTTATATTTCTTATGTAATGCCTTGGAGACGTGTTGCTCAAAACACCTCTGAGATTTATGCTCTGCGAATCTGGTGAAACAATATTTGATAAAAATATTTAATAATAAACTTTGACACATTCTTCCACTCGTCATCTGCAGTTTCAACATTTCCAGCGTCTTGGGAACTGGAGCCAATCAGCAGCAGCCAGTCGAATGAGGGCGGGGTCACACACCTACATACTGTATAAAGACACTTTCGTCTGCAGAAAAAAGAAACATGAGCACATGTGCAAGTTGTATAAAATTATTGTTTTTTTTTTAAATTTATTTACAATGTATAATTATGTGTAGGCGACTAAATTTCTGCACAGATTTTCACCTGTTTTTGTCTTTATCGTGTTCCTTTCAGTCGTGTCCAACACAGATCTCGGCCCTTGTGTCCAGAAAGACTAAATTTACCGAATTTCTGAAATGGCCATTAGGTGCTTTCACATGCGGGTTGTCATCGTAACCATGGAGGACGAGTGCGGGCGACCGGCTCACTGATACATCGTTGTTGACCTGCACTAATTGTGTGAAGCCAATTGAATGCATTTGGCCTCCGATGGTTGAGTGACCTAGCTTCGAGAACGTGGCTCTGGTCAACAGGTTGAATGGTTGTTTGCCTTACAGAGAGCACGGATTCTTCGCTCCAGTAAACGCTGGTGTCACCGGGAAATGTTAGAGTGAGCAATTACAGATAAGGCGGCCGCGGGGCTGCGACCGCCGTCCGGGGGGCAGAGTGGCCGCCGCATGGAAAACAGCAGTTGGCGGTTGATCTCGCAGCGGCCGTGTTGTCCTACAGAGGCTGCACAGGTGACCGGTTCATCACAGGACAGGTCCTGGAGGGACAAACAGTTCACATTTACACCAACCCCCAGGGTCAAAATCCCCAAAACATGAAAACTCAGATCTGTATATATACACATATATATGTATATATATATGTACGGTATACATATATACGCATATATAGACATACTGTATATATACATATATTTATATATATACATGTATGTCTAAATATATATAAATTATGGGCTCTCAGAAATGCTTCATGTGTGATGATTAATCTGATGAGCTGTTGTTGTCAGTTAACATTTATTTTTCTTTCTCTTTCTCTTCTTATCTGATCCTCTGTGTCTGTGCAGGATTTTCTACGATGGTTCAGACTCCGGGAACACGGAGAAGTCCTGGAGCTGCGCTGAGAAATCACGGTAACCTTTGACTTCTAGAACTCCACTGTGTAAAAGTTTGCCTCAGTCAACACACAATAAATGACGTCACTAGTGATACGCTATAATAAACAGTGACCAGTGTGTGTGAGTGTGTGTGTGTGGTGGTAAACGGGAGCTTCCACAGTATTCGGTGTGTGCTGTGATTTCTCATCTCTAAAGTATTATATTTGATCCTGGTGCGATCAAATTTGTGCGTGGAGGGCCATTAGACAATAAAGCGGCTACTTCCTCATGCGTGAACTCAGAACGCCGTGGCAGTAAGTGCTGCGGGGCGGTCAGGCGTCCGTAAGTCAATTACTTCTGCTTAGTTTAACATACACTTTTATTGTTTACTTTCTGTTTACTGCTCTGCAACAGATGGCTGCACCAAGAATGTGAAAATATTTTTACTATTTTTGCCACCGACAAACTGTATGTGATCCATGCAACTAAGATTATTTAAAAAAAATTAAAAAAACAACGCAAAATGCATGCAACTAAGATTATTTAAAAAAAATGTAAAAAAAAAACAACGCAAAATTTATTATGCACAAAATATATAATATATAATAACAATATATATAATATATATATACAATATTTGAAAGAATACAATGACATGACCAGGAATTGATTTACAAGTAATTTAATAATTGTATAAAAAGTCCTATATATACAGTTTATTGTTTAATGTAGTTTAAATATTTGGTATTTGAATCGGAACTGTAAATAATCTAGAGGCCTAATATGGGCCATGAAGGGCACCACCTGCTGGAGAAGCGATGCTGCAAAAAAAAAAGTAATAGTAAATAGTTTGAAATGAGTCACTGTATATTTTTTGAACATATATTATTTCATATATTTAACAACATTTTTATTGTATTGTTTGAGTTTTTAATTAATTTATTACAGAACTCGTCGCATTTGTTTGAGTTTTTAATTGATTTATTACAGAACTCGTCTGTTCGAATCCCGTGTCTGGTTAAAACAAAGTCAGTATGAGACTGTTGACGGAATGTTAATCCTGGACACGGGACTTTTAAATTCGGCTCCTTGACTGATTGAGTTCGAGACCCAAGAGCTTTAACGCGTCATATCTTGCGTCACTCAACCCTGCGGGCGGTAGGACCCCGCGGAGCTGCTGTCGGAGACAGGCGGACCAGAACAGTCATGGTGACGGTGCTCTCGGTTGACCCCGGTTTACCTGAGACCTTCTGACCACAACCTGAGCCAGACGGTGTCACAGCTGGACACGGCGGAGCTCTGCCGCTGCGTCTGACGTGTGTCCGCTGGGTTAAAGGTCCCACGGGCCGACCCTCGGCTGCTGGATGGAGCACATCCGACTTCCGAAGGTAAACTGTGTGCAGTGATTAGCCGCGACGTCGGCTGTGTCTCCACACAGTGTTCACACGAACCCCCCGTGTTGTCAATAACATATAGCATCGGGACGTGGAGTCAACATTCAGCTGTGATTTACTGACGTGACACTAGGTTTAACAGCAGCATCACATCTGTGTGCGTTTGTGTTGTGGATATACAGGAAACCATGCCCAAAACACTGGGTCGTGGCCCACAGATGAGCCAAGACTGTGTTCCCTTTTTTAAAAATGTACTTCAAACACCAGCACAAGTGAACACTTTATTTATTGATCATCTCTGATTTATTTTGTTTTGGAAAAGTTAAGTTAAGGACCAGATTTTAAAAATGTGAAAACAACAATTCTATTTTATTTGGTAGTGCTCTTGGTTTGATGTTTTTTTATGTACAAACATGTTAAGTCAGTGGTCTAAATTCAAATTGATAAAATAATTATTTTAAACTGATGGAAATCATTTGAAAACAAGTCTGTAAATGACAGAATGAACTAATTGACTCAACGATAAGCAGAAATAATTACAACACAAGTAAAAGGATATATTAAGTATATATACTGTAATACCTATAGATATTACATATTAATATCCGATGCTGATCGCTGACTGTCCACCAGGTGGAGAATGTCCAGCTGCTGGACAGAGTCTCTGTCAGGAGGAGCAGGGTGGGGACCCTGTACCTGACAGCCACACACTTCATCTTTGTGGAGAACGAGGCCGGGGTGAGGAGTGAAACATGGGTGAGTACCAGCACTCACCGACCAAAGATATGAGCATCGATTTCTTAAAGCCAATTATTTTGTAGAAATTCAGTGTATTCTATTTTGAAATCAGCTCTGTCCTCGTGTACTGAACGAGAAAGAAGAAGAAATGAAAGAGAAACAACAGGAAGAGTTGTAACACATGTTGTCACTGGTATCTGAAGTCAGTCCTGGTTGTGTGTCGCAATCTGTCTTAGTAAAAGAAGAACCGGAAATAGTCACATGCAGTGGGGTTATTCTGGCGCTTTTATTTTGAAAGTCCAACGATGCCCTGCTGTCTGACTCTGACATCAGTGAGATTTCCTAACTTGGTCAGAACAGTTTCCTGTGATGAAGCTCTGGCTTTTTGTTTTAAATGTCACTGCACTACAGAGCCTCGACGTTGCTCTTCTCTTCTTCTTCTTCTTCTGCCCCCTGCTGCTCCACAGGTGCTCTACAGTTTGGTGTGCAGTTTGGAGAAACAGGCCGCCACGGCCTCCGGCTACAGTCTGATCATTCGCTGTAAGAACTTCCAGGTTCTTCACTTTGTTCTCCCCCGGGAGCAGGAGTGTCAGGACGTGCATCTGTCCCTGCAGCGTCTCTCTCAGCCAGGTGAGAACTCTGGGAACATCTGCCCTCATCTGGTCGTAAAGTGCCACTCCTTAATTTACCGAAAGGGATTAATAAAGTTTTTTTATATATAAAAATTTACAGTGGTACAGGAATAGTAGATACTGGTACACAAGCCTAGAGTGCCCTCTAGCGGTTGTCACTGTGAAAATAACAAACGTGAAATTATATATTTTAATATATGATTTGAACCTGAGTATAAGTCGCAAAGATATATATATTATTTTTTATAGCTTTTTTTAATAGCTATTCCTGTACTACTGGAAATTTACATGTTCGTTATTTTCACACTGACAGCCACTAGAGGGCACTGGTGCAACTTATAGTCAGGAAAATACCTTACTCATCCATCCATCCTTTCATCCATGTAATGGAACGTCGTCGTTAGCATTTGTTAATGTATTGTTATTGATTAAGTACTTTACTCTACAAAAAAGGTATTTTTTTACTAACTATTTAAAGAGAACGTCTGTGTTTTACTGTAGTATAACACACTTTGTTTTTAAATGTTTTCTTTAAATCTAATTCTCTTGCACTGGATAAACTCTCTGCAGAGAGTTTCGCCGAGCTGTACTGCTTCTCCTATAAGCCCAACGTTGACGAGGAGGAGCGGCGGCAGGAGTGGGACTTCTTGGAGGTCAAGGCCGACTACAGTAGAATGGGACTTCCAAACTCCATGTGGAAACTCTCCTCCATAAATCAACACTACGAGGTCCGTGAGACGACAGACGTCTTCTTCCTCCCTGTCCTTAAAAGGACATCGCTGCTGCTTCCTCACAAAAGAATTTTCTTTTTTGTTTTTGTTTTTTGTCACCAAAGGTTAGTGAGACTTACCCCACCGACCTCTTCGTCCCTGACTCTGCCACACCACCAGTCATCAAGGGCAGCTCCAGGTTCAGGAGCAGGGGCAGATTTCCCACACTGTCGTACTACTGCAGAGAAAACCACGTACGTCGCCTCTGGTCATTACTCTCCAAAGACTGAACCTGAACCAGTCTTCTAGATGATGATGACCAGGATTATTATAATTTATTATTATTATTATCAGTCTATATCTAAATATCATATTATGCACTGGTTCCCAAAGTGAGGGGCGGGCCATTTTGAAGGGCCGTGAAGTTTTTTTCAATTTCACTGATTTTTAATTGCACTCCTTGTTCAGTGGGAAAAATATATATATATATATATATATATATATATATATATATATTAGGAACTGCAATGTTGAATTAAATAATGTTTGGTGGAGTTTTGAAGCAGAAGATGTGACTGATTTGAAGTTGGTCTCAAAAGCTGAAGAAAAGGTTTGGGAAGCACTGATTTAAGGTCAGAGGTCAGGCTCATTTCTGTCAGATTTTTTCCAACTCATTTCCTGAAACGTGGAAATGTAAAATAAAATACAAGACTTTTTTTTTACCTGAGCTGAGGCCGACAGTAATCCACATCTGAGAGGCCGTGCATTTGAGTAAAGGATTAGTCCCTGATTGGACGGTTGCTTCGTGTGCGTGAGGTCAGATTCCCAGGGTTGATGGAGGAGTGTGTGTGGAGATCAGCTCCTACTGAGAGGCTCATGAGCCAGAAGAGATTTAAACATCACCCTCTGGCTGCCTCCCCCGTGGCTCTTAAATACTGACAAGAGAAAATGTGAGGTTGATTATTTTAAATGAATCTGGCAGACGAGTAAACAAACTTTGAATTTTTGTTTTCACGATTCTCACGTTTTTGTAGTTTTCAACCGACATGTCAAACATGGTAATAACTGCACTGCCCCCAACAGGCTGCCATCTGCCGCAGCAGCCAGCCCCTGTCGGGTTTCAGCGCCCGCTGCCTGGAGGATGAGCAGATGCTAGAGGCCATCATGAGGTCCAATCCCCACAGTGACTTCATGTATGTGGTGGACACCAGGCCCAAGGTGAGCCCAGTATGATCCGCTTCTCAGCAGCATCGCACAGGAACTCCAGTTCTGTGCTGTGTGTTCAGGTGTGATTTCCAAACATCCCGTCCCTGGTCCAGAGGCCTCGCTGTAATCTTTTTTCCCTCCATGTTTTTCTTCTTTCGTTTTCAGCTGAATGCAATCGCCAACCGAGCTGCAGGAAAAGGCTACGAAAATGAAGATAATTACTCCAACATAAAGTTCCAGTTCATCGGCATCGAGAACATCCACGTCATGAGGAACAGCCTGCAGAAACTGCTGGAAGGTAATACAGTGGTCTACCGCCCGCCACAGGTGAAAAAAACAAAGTCGAGACGCGATAGTTATTATATTATTTCCGTAGAAATATTAACCCTTTACGAATCCTTTAGGAGGCACAAAAAAATGTATTTTTTCTTCTACAAAATGCTTAATGAAAATATTGGAAATTTAACAATGTTTGTATACCGCAAAATCCTGTGATAGAGCAAAAAATCCACAGTACAAGAATATATTTCGTTGTTGTCATTTTAACAGCAGCCTCTCTTCCTCCAGCGTTTGGATTTATCCACAGAAGAATGTGTTCAGAGGTCACAGTGTGACCGCAGTAGGCTCTGTGTTTACTGTTCATTCTTATGCCTTATCTTCATTACTCCCCCCTCCTCCCTCCCCCAAAATCACCCCCGTGGCTTTAATACACACTGAACTGAACTGTGCTGCAGTCCGGCCTCAGATCAGCCCACGGGGGAGTTTCTCAGTACTGCGCTGCGGTGCTCCGAGGAAAACTTCCGTCCATCCATCTGGGTTTTATTTAAGAGCTATTCTGCCCTCCCAGAGTGGACGATCCAGGACCTTAACCCCCAGGAGAAGATGAGGGGGCGGGGGCGTGAGAATGACATGATTTTATGTCTAAAAAACTTATAACCCCAACTTAGTTGTAATAACTTTTTGCCTCCTGGCAGCAAATCTGGAGACACTGCCCCCCGCCTCCCCCCGCGACCCCCTACCTCCCTCTCTCCCTTTAATGACATTAACCCAACAATCTCATCCAAGTATTAGTGCAGAACATTCCGGTTGAATGAACCTGTTCTTTCCTTCTTCTGACATCAGCGTCTCTAAATCATGTTTTTATAGCAGTATAAATCACTGGACCTGATGTGATCAATCAAACTCGGCTCTGGGGAAACGGTTGTTTCTGTTGCTCGGCCTTGACCTCTTTGTGACCTCTCAAATTCTGTACTCTAATTCTGTTTTTAAAACGCACAAGGGAGTGCAGCATTAAAATATTCTTCTTATGACTTAATTGTGACTTATTCTGAGTGGATGGAAAAGTGGTCAGTGCTTCGCCTTACAGTAGGAAGGTCACCAGTTTGATCCTGAGTTGTAACGGCTGTGTTTTATATGAAATTACAACGGCTTCACCTACAGTCAAGGTTATGTTGACACCTGGCTGTATGTATGTGGACTCACCCCGTTCCATTGTTGTATGTGGACTCATCCCCCACCCCCCTCCCCCCAGTCCACTTATGACCGCTGAGAATGTAGATGTCCAGTAATTCCTGTCAGTGTTGAAGTCCAGATTTTTAGTGTCCTATTAAATTAAAATCAAAACTCATCAGAACACTGATGGTCTGGACTCAAACCCGAAGCCAAGAATTAAAAACCCACAGAATTCAGTTTGTTAATTTCTCACATTTTTCTTCCTCACCCAAACTGAATGGAAACATTTTTTATTCTTGAACTTTTTTTTCAAATTGTTCTTCAACTGTAAGACTGAAAAACCTTGAACTTTTTTTTCAAATTGTTCTTCCACCGTTAGACTGAAAAACTCCTGAGTCAAACTCAGTAAAATGAATCTTCTTCTGAGTCAAACTCAGTAAAATGACTCTTTATTCGATGACCCACATTTTCAGTTCTCATGCTCCTCAAATCCACCGTCACTGGGAGTGAACGTGCGGTTTATTAGAGTTCTGACATCAGGTAAAGCTCCGTTCTTCCCCTCAGTGACTCTGCTCTGCTGTGGTTACAGTGTGTGAGCTGCGTTCCCCCTCCATGTCCGACTTCCTGGAGGGTCTGGAGAGCTCCGGTTGGCTGAAGCACATCAAAGCTGTTCTGGATGCAGGCATCTTCGTGGCCAAGGTCAGTCTGGGGGTTAATCTCTACTGTCTGCCCCACCAGGGCTCTGGGTTATAAGATGTGTTTCTGTCTGCCCCACCAGGGCTCTGGGTTATTATTAAGATGTGTTTGAGACAAAGTCAGTCGAGACGGGAGTCGGTTTCAGATTTTGAGTGGGAGAGGGGGAGAGGGATAATGGGAGACAGGAAGAAGAGTGGGGGAGAGTGCAGAAAAAGTAACGTCTGTTGATTCTACAAAAGGACAAACAGTCGCTGAGATGGGTTCAATGTCCCGCTTCTTTGGCTCCCATTCTTTGTTGGTCCTTTTGTTTACATTACAAATTTATTTTTTCCGTCTCATTTTTACATTTTGACTGATGCAGAAAAAATAGTCGTCCACATTTAGGCCGACTTTACATGGTAGAAGTTATCGTCTTTGAAAGGAAAGTTTTGAATAATTGTTTTATATAATCCACATTCACGATAAGAGGGATAATCTGATATTTATTGCACATCATTTGTTACATAATCTTAAATCATTAACCCGATGATGTGTGTCTGTGTGTGTAGGCAGTTGCAGAGGAGGGTGTCAGTGTCCTGGTTCACTGTTCAGATGGATGGGATCGAACAGCTCAAGTGTGTTCAGTGGCCTGTGTGCTTCTGGATCCGTACTACAGGACGCTCCGAGGACTCATGGTACAAAATCTGTCCTAACGTGACTCATACACAGTAACATACATTACAATCACATTTCTAAAATAAATACTGAAAATAAAGCCATGTTGAACTCAGGGAACGACTTTAAAGATTATTTTGAAAAAGTTTGGCGATCGTAACAGCTTAACAAAGTCTGATTTCGAGGGTATTGTCACATGAAATTATTATTTTTTGTTTCAGTGTCTAATAGAGAGAGAGTGGATCTCATTCGGACACAAATTCTCCCACAGGTTTGTCTACGTCGTACGTCAACGTGACTCCCAGAGCAGGTGATTTAAAGATGAATTTTAAATAAAATCCTCCCTCCTCCCTCCCCCGTCTTCCCCCCACTTCCTCTCCAGATGCAACCACCTGGTTGGAGACCCGAAGGAGGCGTCTCCTATCGTCACCCAGTTCCTGGAGTGTGTGTGGCAGCTGATGGAGCAGTTGCCCTGTGCGTTTGAGTTCACTGAGAAATTCCTCGTCGCCATTCACAATCACATTTACTCCTGTCAGTACGGCAACTTCATCGGCAACAACCAGCGGGAGAGGATTGAGCTGAAGTGAGTTGTAAATCCGCCGCTACGATCGGTTTCCCTTCACTGTTAAAAGGCACAGAAATCCGACCTGACTGACGACTGTGGACAAAAGGGTTCAGACAATTTCCCTAAATTATGGAATACTGCAGCTACCTGTTGTATGACTTTAAATGACTCCATTATCTCACATAATCCACAGCATCCTTGTGCTTCATTTGCTTATGCATATGTTTGTTTTGTGACACAGGGTGCGTGAGAGGACTCACTCTCTGTGGAGTTTTCTGTGGACCAACCGCTCAAAATTCATCAATCCTCTGTACAGACCAGACCACAGCCAGGCCCAGGGGCTCCTCCGACCATCTACTGCCCCCTACTGTTTCAAGTGAGTCTTAAATAAATACAACTGAACAATAGTTTGGTTTAGAAAATGGTGCATATATCTATTTTACTTGAAAATGCGCGATGTTATGTTTGCATAGATTTTGGAGAGGCCTGTACAACCGCTTTGACCGAGGAATGCATCCACGTCAGTCTGTGGAGGATTATCTTCTGGCCATTCAAGAGGAGACGCAACAACTGGAGGAGCAGGTTTCCTCACACAAACAAGTAGGGTGATCACGGTTTCCCAAAAGTTTTTTTTTTTTAAATTATCTATCGTCACATCGACTATATCCTCAATATTTTATAATGTCAACAGAAAATTGAACAATTGGAGCAACAGCAGGAGTGGGCAGTGGTACAGAGGGGCTCCCCTGATCATGAAAGTTCCACAGAGTGGGGGCTCGGTGACGACCTCTCTGTGGTCAACACTCCTCAGGATTACACTGAGCACTTCCTGACCGGCAGCCCCTGTCGGCAGAAACCACCAGACAGCAGCCTGGTCTTCTCGTCCAAAGACGTAAACCTAAAGTCCAAAACCACCCTGTCCACCAGCAGTGACCAGGAGTCAGGGATCGCTGACCTGAGCTGTCGCTCACCTCTCAGTGAGGACAGCACCAGGGACCCAGACTCAGACGAAGCTGCCTAAATCTGCTGCCTGAGCAAATGTAGCAGGACCCACAGTGTTGTCAGTAGCACAGAGGAAACATCATCCCATCATGATGGAGAGGAGACGGACATGTGATGTTTGAATGTACAAATTTACTCTTGTGTCTTCAGAGGTCCTAAAATTAACATATTTGTTATGCAGCCGGCTGTTATGGTTAAAAGGGAAGAGCAATTCTGGGATGGAATTTTTACATTTTATATTTTTGTTTTAATGACTTAAGAACAATTTTGGAAAAAAGGGATGATCTTCTCCAAGGTTTATCTCAATTAAAAGGTGTATTCAGAGAAACACGGCCTGGTGAAACTTACAGCGCTTTAAGGAAACAGAATGTGTTTAATAGGATATGAGTGAAAATCAAAAATCCATCTAGTAATCAGAGCTGAACCACTGGTTCATAAAAGTCCATGAAGAAATATGGAAGTTGTCATTTGAAATTCTATTATAGTTTTGATGAAGACCTACAGGTCCCCTTCAATAAATAAAAAGTATAGTTATATAAATAGAGATGAGGAAGGTTTCCACCCACAGGCAGTTTGGTTCAATAATTTCATTCAGTAATAATCCAGTTTATCCTGCATAAACCAGTGGTTAGCTTGGACTGACTGACTGAACTTTAGGTCAACATCTACGTATTGTTTTTCTGTGTTAATGTAGTGCAGTGTTACAGAGAGAAACCACCTGTTTACAGTAGACAACGCAACTTAATACACACCTGTTTATGTAGATGTAATGTTGACTTTTAACTTGAATTATGTATTGAGTCAGCACACAGTGGTAAAATTGTTGTCATAGACTCACGCAATAAAAACATGAACATATCATGCAAGGCACAGTTCTTTGTTTCTGTACGTATTTTTCACATCTGCAATTTTTCTTTCTGGGTGTAATTTTGTATGTGAGGATTTAAAAATGTAAAGCCAAAAAATGTGTTTAAAAGGCAAAGCTTTATACATCTGTATGTCATTAAAAAACAACAAAAAAAAAGCCCAGTCCAAATGAAATTAAAAATGTACTTTTGCACATATTTTCATGCTGGACTCGAACAGTATTGTCCTCTTATTTAACAAAAGGAAACCCTGACCTGAGAGAAGACAGATGGACTAAGTAGAAGTAAAAATAAAAAATAAAATAAAGCATTAACTGTAATAGCCAGAGTAAACCTGGCCTCTAAAAGTGTTTGCCTTAATATATTTTAAGTTATTCTAAGTTAGATAATACTTCAGGCATTATACGGACATAAACGTACAGAGAGATGCGGCCATGTTGAAGAATAAAACAGATATATTTTGTGTTTAAAATAAAAAAATACCATATATTTATATGTTTGGACAATAACAGTAGCACAAGTGATAACCATCTGAATCATTAAACTTTATATATTATATTATATTTCCATGTTTTTAATCATATACAGTCTCTCTTTAAAAAGAAGACCGCCTCGTGCGTGAACAGCAAACGTGCTTAATCATTAAACTTTATATATGTACGCACTGACGTTTCACCTGTACGCAGTGACGTCGCGCTGTGGGCTCAGCTACGATGGCAGCCGTAGGTTGACATCGGTACAGTTCTCCAGATAAAGTGTTTAAAGTTAGCGGAACAGTCCCGACTCAGTGACGTGCAGCACAGTGAGAGTTTTCAGAGAGCGCACGCTTTAAACACGCACACATAAACAAACACACACTCACCCGCCCGGCTGGTAACGGTAAGTTTAACACTGCGTACAGCCTCGTAGTTGTGTTTGAGTGGCGCCCACCGCTCACTCAGTCACACACACTCACGTGAACACAAACTGATACAAGTGTGTTTCTCACAGTGGCTTTAATACATGTCTGTCAAGCTCTTAAATGTGACGAACAAGGTGTGTTTGGGCTATGAGTTTGTGCCGCGGCTGTTCAAATGTGGGGCACCGGTCTGTCGGAACGTGCTAGCCATGATGCTAACGCAGTGTACAGTGCAGCCGGCTAATATCAGTGCAGCAGCTGGAACAGGCTAGGCTTAGCTCCCGTGTTAGCATTAACTGTATGCTACATCCGGGTAACGTAAAGTGACCCTGCTGTAAAACATACAACTAATGTACCTTTGCAGTTTTGTGCCTGGCAGAGAGGTTCCCGGTTTTAATGAAACGGGAACCTCTCTGTCTCTCTCTTTTTTTTTCTTTATTCTTTTTTTTTTGCTCGATTAATCATTTAGGCATTGGATACATTACATGGCCGTTTGCCCAGTGCCTTGGACGTTAAAAATAACCTGGCTACGCAATGCATCAGGGTGTTTTTATGTTACAGCTATACGTTACAAATACCACAGCATCGGTAGTAGCTAACTAGTTAATCAAAAGTGTCACGAAAATTTGTACGCACGAAAAGTTTTTTTCTTTTTTTTTCTTTTAAAAAAATTGTTTCCCTTCAGCTAACATGTCAGAGGAGCTTCTGCCTCAGGGATTCTCTGCTTAGTGTTTCAGGATTGGCAGTTATTCCTGGCTCCTTCACCACTAGTTGTGTTTGTTGTGGATTATAAGCGGTTTAAAAAATGAATGTTAAAAATTAAGTAAATAATACTCAAAACATTCTGGCACTTTACTTTTCATCATCTGAAACTTTATTTAAACTTTAATGACTTAAATATCTGCACTTTCAAACAAAGAAAATAATGTAATAACTTTCCTTTTCTAAGTGTAAAACAGCAGTAAAAAATCTAAATACTGCACTATTTAATTAATAATTTGTTTACATTCTTTAAAAGCAGTGCAGTGTTAATGCTTCTGTAACCATGTTAAAAATCCCAGGGTGTGGAGAGCTTGTCTTTTGTGTCTTTATTAGCCATAGCCAATTGGATTACCTTCTGTTGAAAAGGCTAAGCTAACTGTTTATCTGCCTGTGTTTCTCCCTCTGTGTGTGTAGTAGCACTATGCCCGCAGCTACTGTGGATCACAGCCAAAGAATATGTGAGGTTTGGGCCAACAACCTGGAGGAGGAGCTGAAGAGGATCAGACATGTCATCCGTAAATACAACTACATCGCTATGGTGACTGATGTTGAATACTTTAACTTTAAATTCATTGTTGTTGTTTTTTTTTTATGTTTCTGTCGTTAAAGTTAAATAAATTGTCACTAATGTATTATGGGTTTTTTTAATACCATCATTTATCAATTGTAAATTATGAATATCATGATTATGTTCCTGTTCAATAACTAATAGTTCCCAAAGTGGGGGGCGCAGTGCTTTAATTTGGCTTATATTTGGGAAAATACATTGATTTTATAAATTATCTTTTTTCAAGTCAGTTCAGTGTAGTTTTAAAACAAAATGTGTTGGAGATTACATTTTCTAATTTCTGTTTTATTTTTATTTTTTCAGGACACAGAGTTTCCAGGTGTCGTAGCCCGACCAATCGGAGAGTTCAGAAGCAACGCAGACTATCAGTATCAGCTACTTCGCTGTAATGTGGATTTGTTGAAGATCATCCAGCTGGGCCTCACGTTTATGAATGAACAAGGAGAATATCCTCCAGGAACGTCCACGTGGCAGTTCAACTTCAAGTTCAACCTCACGTAAGGCGACCGTTCTCTCTGTCCATTCACAGTTTCCTTTAGAGCAGATCCTTTAGATCAAACTCAGATTCACAGTGGGCTAAAATTAAAAAGTCGGGCCAAACTCAATATTTATTGAAAAATTGACAACAATTGTGGATGTTTGATTTGTAGAATTTTTTCATATAGAAACAAACTTTAGTTTTTGTGTAAACATTGAATCTGGAACAACCAAAGGTTAATATAATAAACACATGAGAAATTAAATTTTAAATAAACACACATCAGTATTTGTTTCTTATGTCTCTTTATCTTTAAAATTTTGAGTTATTTTTAATGTAAAAAAAAACCCAGAATGTATGTGCTATAACATACCGCATACACTGCTAATACTACAAATCCTGCTAGTATACTGGCGGGCCAACTCTGGTACACATTTGATATGATCTCGTGGACCAAATATAATTACATGGCGGGCCAGATTTGGCCCCCGGGCCTGAGTTTGACATGTGTGTTTTGGTCAACATTATTCATGTACAAACTCTGCATTTTTGTCAGCACATATTGGCATCAGTTAATTTTTTGTTTTGGTTCCACCACTGGTGTGTTGTGTCTCCTCAGGGAGGACATGTATGCACAAGACTCCATCGAACTCCTGACCACTTCAGGGATTCAGTTCAAGAAGCACGAAGATGAAGGAATCGAGACGTTGTATTTTGCAGAGTTGCTGATGACGTCGGGGGTGGTGCTGTGCGACGGGGTCAAGTGGCTGTCCTTCCACAGGTAGGAACAGCTTCGTGTTGTTAAAGTCTTTGAGCTGTGAATGCTGTAGATGGACACACCACCAAGGGTGTTGCTGTGTAAAGTTCAAAATTAATCTTGTTTTAAATTTTAGTAAATTACCTCCGGTTTTTAATTTTCTGTCTGCAACCCTTAGTCCATAGAATATGGCACGCTGGACATCAGTGTACCACTGCTGTAATGCTTGAATGATAAACAAGCCTCCAGACAGTAGGGGGCAGCAACTCATACAGTGGTTTGTTCAGATACAAATATACTTGTTATGCTATGTTATTTGGTTCTCATTAGTAAATAATAAATAATATTATTTACTATATTAACTAATAATAATAATACATTTACGGGGGTTTGGGGAATGGTGAGGATGTGTGAAAACATTTCTGTCCCCCAGGGGGGGCTAGACAGAAAATAACTGAGAACCACTGCTTTAGTCTCTTTGCAATGACACCCTGTAATAGACACAGTTAGCCTGAGTTGTCATTGGTGCAGTGGTGTAGAGTGATGGCAGATAGGAAGAGGATGGAATTTCCTACAAAACTCAAGGGTTATTTTGATACGTAGGTAATTGTCAGCAACTCAAGAGCAGATGTTTGTTATTTAGCTCGAGCAGTGGCTGTGTCTCACCGGCTGGTGAACAGTGTTTTTGGTGGGATGGATCACTGCATCTGTGCTGAAATATAACTTTCTGTCTTTTTATTGGTAAAACTGGTTAAATGTCAATATATTGTCAAAGCTGTTTTTTTGTTTGTGGTTTTGTTTCATCTGCTGCAGTACTGCCAGCATTTTACATTGTTGAAATGTATTTTTTAGACGTATTTATGTTGCTGGAAAATGATTAAAACATCTTTTATTTTTAAGTTTAAAGTTTTTAACCCTGCTTTAAACTTAAATTTTTATTAAAGTTTTTAACCCTGCTTTAAACTTTATTCACATTTATGACAATTTTAAATCCTAATCCTAACTCCAATCTGACCCCAGTTCTATTCCTAACTCCAAACTAAATCATAAACTTCAGAATTTCCTTTGCACTCAGTGAGGACCTGGAAAATGTGTCCACAAAGACAGTGTCCTCAGTAACAGTGGTGTTTTTAGAGAACGTTTACCTGTGATTTTCTCTCCATCTTCTTGTCTTCTCATAGACGAGAGTTTATCTGGTTTTCAGCAGCTGCACAGCTGAGGTTGTTCTAAAATCTGCTAAATTAAAATAAATGTCGACTCCTTTTTTTTTTACATACAGCGGCTACGACTTTGGATATTTGATCAAGATTCTGTCCAATGCTAACCTGCCTGAGGAGGAGGTGGACTTTTTTGAGATTCTTCGCTTGTACTTCCCTGTCATCTACGATGTCAAGTACCTGATGAAGAGCTGTAAAAACCTGAAGGTATTTTGAAACATTTCCCAGCACGTCACACGTTTCACGAGCAAACCGTGAACGTCGACTCACAGCACTGATTTGAGGTTGTCGGTTTCAGGGGGGGCTACAGGAAGTAGCCGAACAGCTGGAGCTGGAGAGGATTGGACCGCAGCATCAGGCCGGCTCGGACTCCTTACTCACAGGCATGGCCTTCTTCAAGATGAGAGAGGTACGGCCCTCTAGTGGAGGAGGAGAGCACTTGTGCTTTATAGCTATTATTTTTTTAAGTTGTGTTTTTTTTAAGCTCCCAGTCTTCACAGTGCTGCAGTTACTCTTCCTGTTGTAGTAATAAGTATAAAAACATCTGATGATGATGACAACTTAGTAACAGAAGAGAAAAAAGTCAATTTTTTCCAGAAACACTGGAACATCACCATTGATCTGCTCTGGTTAAAAGTCAAACTAGTCTGGTCTGGTTGACCTGGTTAACTGTCAATACTTGAAACAACAAGAAGAGGAAGAGAAAAAACAGGAAGTGGAAAGAGTTCCACTGGAGAACACTGTTGGTGTCTGTGGAACAAGTTCTTCCCACGTTCTGTTTCAACACCTGAACGTCTCTTAGCCTATGTAGGGCCTGACGTTTGGGTTTAATGGCGTTTTTTTAGGCGCATACTGCCAGCTGTTGTACCAGAGTGTATCTCACAATATGACTAGTGAGGTTTTGAGATAACTCAGCCTGCTCACTAACTCTAACTAACTCAGCCTGCTCCTTAGGCCTTGATGTGCGATGTAGTTTTATTTTAGCCGATGCCGATTTTAACCGATTTATAGTAGAATTTTTTTTTTAACTGATTTGTTTCACTTTACCATGTCATGTAATAACATTATAACTGCTTCTGTGTTCCGTCCCCCAGATGTTTTTTGAGGATCATATCGACGATGCAAAGTACTGCGGTCACTTGTACGGCCTCGGCTCCGGCTCCGCCTACGTCCAGAATGGAACAGGAAACGCGTACGAAGAGGAGGCGAACAAGCAGCAGTCGTGACAGCACTCCAAGAAACGGAAAACCCAAAAAGGAAAAAAAAACAACAACAAGGAAACAAGACAAACAAACTCTGCCCTTCACCTCACCTCCACAATCAGAGCAGCGCTGAGGCTGAGCGGCCGCAGCCACGTGACCATTGGAATGGAAGAAGACGAAGCATTTACACACCATGTAGACGCTGCTCACCTTCAGATAACTGAGAGTCCCTGCTGTCCTCACACATGCTGCTGCATGTCTGTGTGAGTTCAGTCCTTTTTTTTCTTTCCTTCAGTTACATCAGGCATATTTGAAAAAGGTCGAGATTTTAGTTCTCCTCTCTCTAATGTTCTGTAGAAATGTTTTGCACTTTAAAGCTCTAACCTGGTTTTATAAGGAAAGCTCAAACTTCTGGTGTGTCTTAGTGTGTGTGTGTGTGTGTGAGTGAGAGTGTGTGTGTGTTAGTGTGTCTCCTCTTTGTTGCCTTCGTCACTTCGTCGACGTCATCCTCACTTACAACTACTCTGGCCGTACTCGGCCCAAACACTAGCTGCAGTCTTATCTTTTAAACTTTTAATTTATTGTGCTGGGGTACCAACACCAATTTCCTTCCCTGTTCAATCCTACAGCGCCACCTGTCTGTGAGCTCACCCCGCCAGTGACCGTGTTTACCTAAGCTTACATTTTTCTTTAACTGTAAGCACAGACATTTGTGTTTGTAAACACTGTCACTGGTACGAGCGATTTCAAGTTTCAAGAACCCCCCCCCCGACCCCGCACCCTCGGCACCATTTACAAGGTCTTGGAGTGAAATCCCCTAAACCCAAACCTTAAAAAAAAAAAAAAAACTCATGTCATGTAAGAAAGTATTTTGTGTTCATGCAGAGTAGAGGCTTCCCTTTACTGCTGCCAAGAGTAACATTTCATTTTAATTGAATTTCATGGTCTCTAGAGTTTTAGTGTTGTAATAAAAAGTAAAAAAAACTCGTGATTTTTTTTTTTTTTTTACTCCTATGTGGGTAAAAAAAAAAAAAAGGAAAAAAAAAAACCAACTGCTTTTTAACACTTCTCTCCGGTGCAGTCCACTTCCTGTGTCTTTCTGTCCTTTGTTTTCATGTTTCTCTCCACAGAGTCATGCTGCTTAGGTCAGTCGCATGTACTGAAATGTTTGAATAAATGCTGTTATTTCATAGAAATCCCGACGTCCTGCAGGTTTGTCTGACTCGCCAGCCTTGACTGAACTGAAACACTGTTTTAAATAGTTTGTTGTAAATGAAATGAAGGAAGAGGAGGTCCAAACTGAGGAGCTCACTTTATTCCCATGACGCGTCACAACCGCACAGGTCTCACACATTTATTTTGTTTCTGCAGACAGAATAGAAAAATATAAATTGACACCAACAATAACCATTACATTTTTTTTTTTTTTTACAGGCGTACATTCTCAAAGGATCTTCACTCTGGTTCCAGCACAAGACGAGAAAAGACAGAACGGAGAAGTTCAACCGTGGACAGGAAAATGTCTGGAACTGTTTTTCAGTTTCATCACACGTCACATTCAGTCACAACACCAACATGCTTGTTGTCAGTGAGCTGGACCCACTGTTGTCACGGTGATGGTTGATGCCACCCCACTGCTGGTGGGGGGTCGGGGGTCATGCTGCGTCCAGACAGAAGAGCCCTTATTCAGAAAACTGAACTCATTTTGTTTTTGTTTTTTTTGTTTTTTTTCAAGCAAAGACCAGAACATCAGCCAGGTTCACTCCAAAGACGACCGTTTCAGTGGCGTCCTGAGACGACAGCATGCATCACTGGACCTTCGACAGCACGATGTGGTGAGTGAGCGATTCTCCAAAATTTAAACTCCAAACTTAAACTGAGTGCAAAATAATTGGTAGAAATAAAGTGTAAGGAAAAAAACAGGTTATTAGGGTTAAAGACTGTGAGATGTAGCTATTGTTCCAGTTAAATACAATTTAAATCTATTACTTAAAAAAGTACAGTAAAGTAAATTAACTAACCTGGAAAAACTTTATTAGGATTTTGGACTTTTAAATTAGTGATTTTGTGATTAGTGATAGTGACTTTGTTTGATTTTGTTAAACTCTCAATGCAATTTTTTAAAAATTATTTTAACCTGACAGTGACGGTGCTTAAATCAATGTTGTCTGTGTAGTTTTGTGTCTGCGTGTAGTCACGCAGACAATATTCCACAGACTACCACTAGTTTTGGGAGACGTGGTTTTAATACTTTATTTCAAACTAAAGTCAGTCTTAAACCAAAAAAAAAAAATACAGATAAAAAAAATAAGACAAAAACACAAAAAAGCCAGTGATTTGACAAAACAATCTGACAGCCGCCAAACGCTGAGACCTGCGGTAGAGAGACAGACAGAAGTAGAGACAGATTTAATCTGCAGTCTTTAAATGTGGAATATTTCTCCAAATAGCAGCTGTGAACTTACCTCACTGGACCAAAATTACACTTTCAGCCTCAGTTATGCCTCATTTTCAATAATCATTACAGGGTTACTGGAACCTAGAGGAAACCAAGTGTTAAAAATATTTAATTTTAAAAATGTGTATATAATAGTGTCATATATATATATAAATAAATAAGAGAAGTAAGTATAATAATTTTGTTGCCAAAATGACCTTTCGCAACAAGCAAAATTCCTAGGTAAAATATAAAAACATCTGCGTTTAAGAATAATCCTCACTATTGCTAATCTTGTGTTGTAATTTAATTATTAATTCTTAATATATTTATTTGCCTTTTGATTATATTTTTTTTTTTTACGTCACCTTTTCTGTCTTTGTCTGTTGTAGTCTCACTGTCTGTCCAGGAGGGGGTAGTGGTGAGCAGTCGACTCTGACTCTCTCTCAGAGGTTTGGAGGGGAACTGACGGCCGTCCTGGGGACTGGAGACAGACACAGAACCACAGTTTAAGCCACTGTAACAACGTCGTCGTCTCAGGTTGACATTTTCTCTGCATTTATTTTTTCTGTGGAACTGAATCGAACCTTGACTTTCTGCTTTACTCACCCATTGTTGGCAGGGTTGGAGCCGGAGGGTGAGGACGGCTGCTCCGGGTCCAGATTTACAAGACAGGATGGAAACGAGCAACCGTCGCCTAAACTGGAGGCCAATAGTAATCACACGTATTAAAGGTGGAATATGCAGTTTTTTTTATGCAATATTTGTGTGGGTTTGTTTAGAGGAATCTGACAAAGTTAATAATGAAAATTAATAAAAAATGTTACACTTTTTTTATTGGACGTTATAATTTGAAATTATTTTATGCGGGGATGTTGTTGTGAAGCTCTAAAATGTGTTGTTTACGATCTTAAATTTCTGAGAAAAACAAGAATTCACATTCACACTTACGGTTAATTTAGAGTGAACTGTTCAAACACTTGCGATTGATTTTTAAATGATAAAAAAACAGAATGGAATCAAGGGATAGGGTTCAACCTAGGGATGTCCGATATTAATATCCAATTTGCCGATATTGTCCAAACACTAAATTTTCGATTCCAATATCGACCGATACCGATATAGTGGAGCAGTGGTGAAAGTTAAGAAAGAAGTTTTTCGGAAGAAGTTGTGTTGAGATCAATAGAGGACTGAGGCATCTGACTGGTCTGTCACTGGGGGATTAAACTATTTGTAGGGTACACATTATTATACACATTATTATACACATTATTTGGCGAAACCCAGGCATTGCGTTATCAGGTTTTCATTATCGGAGGAAAAAAACAATAACAATTCTCTAACAATAGGGGCGATGATAACAGTCGGACGATATTATCGGACATCCCTAGTTCAACCGTCTTAAATGTCTAAAATGACACATCAACATGAGGCAAAGAAACAATTCCTCTAAACGTTAGCATTGACACATTACTTACCTGGAGAAAACTGGAACGGGCCAGTATTTGACTTCGTCACCAAAGACCTGTCGGAAGTTCTTACTGATTCCCAAACTGAATCCGTTCTTATCAGTGCCGTGACGGAACACAGGGGCGCGAACAGCTTCTGAGGAAACGCACACGAAGAAGAAGAAGAGTCAAACACACGGAGACCCCAGCACCAGCCCACCTACCCACCTACCAACCAGCCCACCTACCCACCTACCCACCAGCCCACCTACCCAGTGTGGACCTGTTCTTGCAGACGAGCCAGCAGTGGTAGATGAAGAGCGACGCCAGGCTGACCGAGAACATCGAGGCCGAGAAGAACAGGAACAGGATGTGGAACTTGGCCTGAGTGTCTGGGAGGCCGTTCTGTTGGAAAGACAACACATCAACACGTGCACACAGAGAGCGAGGGAGAGAACGCTGCCCTCTACTGAGGTAGGTGGAACCTGGACCTGGAGCGGGTTCTCACACAGTTCTACTCTACTCTGTTCTACAGATGGTTCTGTTTTAGTGCCTCTAACTAACTGGCTGCTTCATACAGTACCAGGTACTCTTTAAGACGGAAGTGAGCTCTACCCCCCGCCTTACGGAGAAGAAAGAAAATCAAACGATATAGTTACACTTTGTTTAAAAAAAAAAAAACTCTCTGTGATTTAATGAAACATCGGGGTGAAAATGTTTACCGTCCAGAACTTGATGAAGTACTGGAGGTCTGTGGCAGTTATAAAAAGGCAGTAGAGGAGGGAGTACGCCAGGAACAGCATGAAGTATTTGTAGTTGGAAAATCCCACACAGTTGTTCACCCTGTGGAGGGAACCACAGGAACAAGGCCAAGAAAGAACAGGAAGTTATTGGAAACACAATGAGATATAAAACTAATCAACAACATTTGTAAAAAAAAAAAAAATATAATTAGATAAAAGGAGATGTCGCATTGTTGTATTTCCTCATAAATATATCTATTTTTAAGCATTATGCTAAGCAATTAAATTAAAAATAATAATTAAATAATATTTTATTTATTTAAATTAAATTAACATCTTACCTGGCTAACTTTGACATCATTAACGTCCTTTTAAATTTTAAAGTCAATAAACTCAAGAAAAACATACAGTACAGTATGTAGAATCACAGTTTTTTTCAGAGTACTGAGTTCGTACCAGGGGCAGTGGTGATCCATCTTTAAGATGCACCTGTAACACAGCACAGTCACACTTCAGTCTATTCTCACGCTGACTTTCTGAGTGGAACTTAAAAAGCTGTGATTCTCTCCTCCGTAGGCGTCAAAGAGGAGAAAAACGTACTTGTCGCACACGGAACAATGGTGACATCGATCGGGCTTCAGCAGCTGGCAGCGGTCGCAGAAACGGATCGCTGGAGGAAACAGAGAAGAGACGGACATGAGCGGCAACAACGGCTAACAGAGAACGGAGCTAACACAGAACTGAGGTAACGGGAAACCCAACGAACAGTTAATGTTTACATTTTTATTTTTGTAATTTTTCTTTATTTTGTCTGTTTAGTTAAATAATAATAATAATAATCAATTTAAACTTCAAGGCTGCCCCCTGGTGGCACCAAGTATGTAGTTCCTCTGGGAATCGAACCCAGGACTGCTTTCGAGGCAGGCGTGCCAACCGCTATATGTGGAACCTTTTTTTTTTTTTCCACTTTAGACTTCAACGTTAAGTTTGACATTAATTGCGCAGTAGTTTTTGTCGCCTCAGTGAGGCGCTGTACCTCCAGAGTTGGTGCGGGTGTAGATGGGCAGGTTCTTGGCTATTCTCCTCAGGATCTCCTGTTGAGACTCCCCACGGTCTTCACGCTCCAGGAGCTCTTTGTCAGAGTAGGACAGGTGAAACTGTGAAGGACGGTCAACAACATGTCGGATTATTGAAAGGCTGCTGACGGTGGTCGTGGTTTGGGATTTTGAACAGATGGAGATTTGAGCAGAGCAGTCACTAATTTAGTAGCAACGGGTTTGAATTTCTATTTTTATATACCAGTAGGAGCGAAACAAAAGAAGAGACAAAACATTTTTAATATAAGAAACTAACTATTAACTTTTTGCAGATATCTGACATGACGATATTGTCCAAACACTTTCTAATTCCGATATTAACCAATGTAACGGGGCAGTGGTCGTTAAGTGTTGCCTGCTCACTACAGTGAAGGGTTAAAACAGTGTTTCTCAATTATTCTCTGCCCTCCTAGAGGACAGAATTGGAATACTACTGAGTGCCTTTATCTGTACAAACCACTGTAAG